GCCCGGAGCCTGCTTTGGATTCTGTGTCTCCCTCTCTCTCTGCCCCTCCCCCACTCATGCTCTGTCTCTATCAAAAAAAATGAATAAACGTTAAAAAAATTTTTTTAATGTCAAAAAGCAACAAAATGAACCGAAATGTAAAAAACATGGCATGAAATAGGCCACAGAAAAAGACCCTGTTGATAGTAAAAGAGCTGAAACGAGAAGACAGAGTGTCTCTGTGTTTGACCTCGGCTGGGAATGTGTGCATCGGGTGATTCAGTTTTCTCCTCGCTTTGCATGTGTCCGCAGATGACTATAAAAGTACCACAAGTATTGATTTGGGGCTTACAAATAAATTTTAGTGAGTGGGTACATTTGCAAACACAGGATCTGGGAATGATGAGGATCGACTGTATTAGAGCCACAGTGACCTTGTTATAAATTACCTTTGCTTAATGAAGAAGCAGGAACAGAGAAGTTAAGGTAACTTGTCCGATAATACGTAGCGTGAAAGAAACAGGACTACAACTACGGTTTCTTAATTCTTCCTGGTCCAGCATTCTTGTATTTTTTCTTAAGATCTACTCTTGAGGTTTGTGGTTACCTCACTTTGATTCTTAACCCCAGCAAGCAACCAGCATCAATGAAAAAAGCTTGATAAATTAAAAAATCATGGTCAGAAGCCCACAGTTTACCAGGACTTTCTAGAGCAGGGATAGTGAACAGATTCTGTAATTGCCCAGAAGCTGTGTTGAAAAGCTATCTGAAGCTTCATCTGGGTTTCTTGAGAAAGGACTGTGATCGATTGGTTCTGTCTGCTGTGGCACAGGACTGCCAAGTGGCAGTGGGCATGCCACGTTTTTGGCATCGGTGGTCTAATATTTACTCTATCAGTCTCGCTTCTTTGATATGTCTGTGCTTGAAAGTTGGTGAAAGTTTCTTCATGGAAGCAGTTCTTCCAAATGAAAAGCCATTTTTCTCGTTCAACCAGATTCTGTACAGATTGTCCTATGTGAAACATACTGTGAGCCCAGAATTCTTAAATGGCAGACCCAAGTCCTGCTTCTATCCTGAAATATTTGTGGCTGTGAAATTTTCTGAGGAGATTTGGCATAAGTTTAACTTTAGTTGCTTCCTTCTCATGTTACGGTTTAGTTCTGAAGCTGGTGCTGAGAGTTCACATGACTGATGTGTAAAGAATGGTGTCTAACGCGTGTTGAGGTCTCAGCCAGTGCTGGGCCTTGTGCAGAGTGCTGCATCAACTCTGTCCACAGCATCGTGTCTGATCTTCCCAGCACCCCTCTGGTCACTTAACTCTCATCCTCATTTCAGAATGGAGGAAACGGAGGCTTAAAGAATAAAGTGACCACCCTACGGAGCTCCTGTGCCCAGAAAGTGGTGGGATTGAGTGGGCATCTAGGACTCTCCCCACCCTGTCTGAATTCTTAACCAGGGGTCCTTAAGCTGCAACTGTGAGCTAAATCTGGCCTGCTACCTGCTTTTGTAAATAAAATTTTATTGGAACACGGCTGCCTGAATCCACTCAGGCTGCTCTAACAGAACACCACGGACTGGGTGGCTTAAGATGGAGGCACTTACTTCCCTCAGTTCTGGAGGCTGGGCAGTGCAAGATCAGGGTGCCAGCTGATTCAGTTCCTGGTAGGAGCCCTCTTCCTGGTTTGTAGACAGCCGAGTTCTCACAAGACAGAGAGAGCACATTAGATCTCTGGTCTCTTCTTATAGGGCACTAATCCCACGAAGGACCCCACCTTCCTGATCTTACCTAAACCTAATCACCTCCCAGAGGCTCTTCCTCCTGATACCATCTCACTGGGGGTAGGGCTTCTACATAGGAACAGGGGATCACAAACATTTAGTCCACAGCAGCAACTGTACCCATTGTTAATGTATTACCTTTGGCTGCTTGCCCACTACTATGGCTGAGTTGAGTTGTTGGAACAGATCACATGACTTGCAAAGCCTAGAAATTTGGTTCTTTACAGAAAAAGGTTGCTGACCACCCCTCTTAACTATTACCCTGTGGTTTGGCATCTTTGATTAAAAATATGCTGTTTATGATTTATGTTCTATATTTTCCTAGAAATTGTTTGTAGAACTCTGGAACGGAAACACTGACATCCTGCTCTACTTGAGGCCACAGTCCTGGCTCGAGTTGTAGATTTAAGAGTGTCTTGAGACCTATGACATATGGTTAGCTCTTCTACTCCCCACCCCACCGCCCCCCGCAGAATGAAAGTTCTCTGTGATTTAATAGGTACATTTGAATTTCTTTGGTTTGTATACAACATGCAAAATATGTTGTCCTTTTTATGACATTAGAAAGTGACCCAGTGCCCTCTGGAATACTAAATGAAATGCATTTCCTCTTGGAGGTTGCCCTTGCAAAGCCTGTTTGACTGGCTTTTCCCAGTGTGCAAGAGGTAACTTCTGACTTGGAAATGGAAGGTCAGTGTCCAGGGGTAAAAGTTGGTTTAGGCAGAATTGAAGACTGCTGCAGACATATCCACATTCTGCTCTGGGCATTTAAAGGCATCCTTCTTAGGGGCGCCTGGGTGGCTCAGTTGGTTAAGCAGCCGACTTTGGCTCAGGTCATGATCTTGCAGTTCGTTGGTTCGAGCCCCATTGGTCTCTGTGCTGATAGCCTGGAGCCTGCTTCGGATTCTGTGTCTCCCTCTCTCTCTGCCCCTCCCCTACACCTGCGCGTTTTCTTTCTCTCTCTCTCTCTCTTTCTCAAAATTAAATAAACATTAAAATTTTTAAAAATAAATAAAGGCATGGGGCACCTGGGTGGTTCAGTCGGTTAAGCGTCCGACTTCAGCCCAGGTCATGATCTCACGTCCGTGAGTTCGAGCCCCGCGTCGGGCTCTGTGCTGACAGTGCAGAGCCTAGAGCCTGTTTCAGATTCTGTGTCTCCCTATCTCTCTCTGACCCTCCCGCATTCATGCTCTGTCTCTCTCTGTCTCAAAAATAAATAAACGTTAAATAAATAAATAAATAAAGGCATCCTTCTTTGAGCTTGGAGAGGTGATGGGGTAGCAGAGATGCTTCTGGGTTTGGTTTGTCCTGAGCACAGTTAGCTTAGAGTTCCCTCTCCCCACGGGGAGAAGCCTACAGAGTTCTCCTGGTGCTCACTTCTACCAAAGGTAAAGATCCTCTTTATTCCCTCCTTTCTGTACCTGGTGTGTCACACACTTCCCCCATGCCAGGGGAGGAGCATTAGGGTCTGTCTTGCCTAACTCAGTGATCTCCAGGGTACCCTGGACATATGTCAATAACCAAATTTTTTTGAGAGTAACCTTTTAATACGTTCATATATCTTCAGTGGTAAGATTATGTACATGTACTACTCTTATTAAATTATTTATATTATAAAACAAAAATAGAACTTTTAAAAGGATAAGATAAGAAAAATATGAATAGAGTTCTTTCTATGTCCTAGTGAAGGCCGTAGGGAACCACTGGTCTCAGCTGTCTTGTTCATACCACAAACATTATCTTTTAGTTCTTATTTCTAGAAAACTTTGGATTTTTTAATGCATATCTTAAAATCTATTTGTAATTGGGGCTCCTGGGTGGCTCAGTCGTTAAGCACCCAACTTCAGCTCAGGTCATGATCCCACAGTTTGTGAGTTTGAGCCCTCCATCGGGCTCTCTGCTAACAGCTCAGAGCTTGGAGCCTGCTTCAGATTCTGTGTCTCCCTGTCTGTCTCTGCCCCTTCCCCCCACGTTCATTCTCTCTCTCTCTCTCTCTCAAAAATAAATAAATATTGTAAAAAATTTAAAAATAAAATCCATTCATAATTATCAAAGTTGTACATGATTACATTCTCTGTTAAATATTTTTTTTAGAACTTTAAAGATAAGACTGGGGGTGCATGGGTGGCTCAGTCAGTTAAGTGTCCAACTTCAATTCAGGTAATGATCTCAACGGTTTGTGAGTTCACGCCCCCCGACGGGGTCCATGCTGATGGCTCGGAGCCTGGAGCCTGCTTTGGATTCTGTGTCTCCCTCTCTCTGTACCCCTCCCCCTCTCGAACTCTGTCTCTCTGAAAAATAAATAAATAAACACTTTAAAAAAAAAAAAAAAAAAGGTAAGACTGAAATCCCTTAGACTGCTAACCCCAAACCCAGTTGCCTGTGTAGGTCATAATACTTTTTTTCCTCTCGTCTTTTTCATTGTTTTTTTCCTTACCTGTGGGTGGTAGAATTTTATCTTATGAATTTGACAAATTTCCCTAATTTATTTGCATCTTTAAAATGTTAGTTGGATACATGGAATTTCTTTCTCATTTTAATATTTAAAAAAATTTTTTTTAATGTTTATTTATTTTTGAGGGGGGGGAGGGAGGGGCAGAGAGAGGGAGACACAGAATCCAAAGCAGGCTCGAGGCTCTGAGCTGCCAGCACTGAGCCTGATGCGGGGCTCGAACTCACAAGCCGTGAGATCATGACCTGAGGCAAAGTTGGACGCTTAACCGACTGAGCCACCCAGGTGCCCCATTTTCTCATTTTAATACTGTTTTAGGTTGAACCACATGAAGTTGTCATTCTCATGGACTGAAAAATATCAGTAACTTCGTACGACCCCAACTTTGTATGACAACTTTTTGTCCATAAAGAAGGCAGATAAGTCAAGACTGAGAGCACAGACTTGGCTTACAGATGGCTTAGCATCTGAGACAAGACCTTTCCAGGGTCCGGGATCCTCAGACACAGAATAACAGTGGTGTCATCTGCCTCCGTAGGTGATGATGGGGACCAAATACAACTACTCAGTGTTTCCCAAACACAAATCAGTCATGTTTCTCCCACACAGCCTCTTCCATGTCTTCACTCCTCTATATCAAAAGTATTTAATACTTTTCTTTAAAATAATTTTTAAAAAATGTTTGTTATTGAAGTTGACCTATAATATTAGTTTCAGGTGTTCTGCAGCTTTTTACATTCAGTAGTGTTTTTAAGATCTGGCTGTATTGCTACCTGCAGATACAGGGCATTTCTTTTGACTGACGTATGATATGTGATACCACCATTTTATTTATCTCTTGTTCTGTTGAGGGGCATGGATAAATAGGGTGACAGTGAACATCCCTGTGCAGGCAGCCTCCTTAGACACAGGGGTGAGCGAGCCAGCTGCCCAGAGGCCTCCCTCCTCTTCCCTCTTCTCATCTCATTGCATTGACAAGGAATAAAGCAGGAATTTCTACCCTCCATCTCTGTCACCCTCCCAGAGTCCAAGCCACCAGCTTCTCCCTCCTGGACAGCTTCGGTAGCCTCCTCACTAGTCCCCTGCTTCTCCTCCTGTTGTCCTCCAGTCTGTCCTCCATGCAGGAACTGGGCGGGGGGGAGGCGGGGGGAGTCTTTAGAAATGTATCACATCATGTTAATCCTTTGCTTAAACCTGCCAGTAACTTTCCACCCCACTCACTGTGCAAAGCGCTTTCCTCAAGTGAGCTTGCCAAGCACGCTCGTGCTGCTGGACCTCTGCTATGTTTCCAGGTTTTTTCCTGTGCATTGACAAAAATTTACGCACGCGTGTATACACACACACACACACACACACACACACACACACACACACACACAGTTTGTATTTTCCAAAAATGAGATAGTCTTATGCATGATCACTGCAACTTGCTCCTTTTAATTTTTTTTTTTTTCCCAACGTTTTTTATTTTATTTTTGGGACAGAGAGAGACAGAGCATGAACGGGGGAGGGGCAGAGAGACAGAGGGAGACACAGAATCGGAAACAGGCTCCAGGCTCCGAGCCATCAGCCCAGAGCCTGACGCGGGGCTCGAACTCACGGACCGCGAGATCGTGACCTGGCTGAAGTCGGACGCTTAACCGACTGCGCCACCCAGGCGCCCCAACAACTTGCTCCTTTTAAAGTGTCTACAAATCAGACAGGGCCCTGGAGATCGCAGCCAGGACTTTTGGCTTTGGTCTGCCCCCACCCGGGAGAATATAAACTCCGTGAGAAGAAGGAGCATCTTACTCCCTGTTGTACCTCCAGTGCCCAGAACAGTATCTGGCACAAGGAGTGAGAAGGCAGAACAGGAAGGTCACGGGAACTCTTTCTTCTGGCCCTGTGTCACTGCACAGACAAGGGAATAATGTCGTGCTTTAAAACCCTGTTCAGGGGCGCCTGGGTGGCTCAGTCGGTTAGGCAGCCGACTTCGGCTCAGGTCACGATCTCGCGGTCCGTGAGTTCAAGCCCCGCGTCGGGCTCTGTGCTGACCGCTCAGAGCCTGGAGCCTGTTTCAGATTCTGTGTCTCCCTCTCTCTCTGCCCCTCCCCCGTTCATGCTCTGTCTCTCTCTGTCTCAAAAATAAATAAACGTTAAAAAAAAAAAAAAATTAAAAAAAAAACAAAAAAACCCCTGTTCAGTTTGAAGGGGAATGTGCCCTCACAGGAGTCTGTAGAGAGACTACTTCTAGTCCTTTTCGTATTTGAATTAAATATCCAGTGGTTCCTTCACCTCAGTCCTGCTTTGCAGCATCAGTTCTGTGGGGCCTACTTGTTAACATCACATTTGAGGAGTTTATAACCATCGCACTCATAACCCAGTGCTCCACATGGGCTTATGCATCCACTAGGAGTAAGGCATAAGCACCGTCAAGAACCGGAGGTCACTTACCAGGCAGCCCGTGCTGCCCTCTTCCGAAGCCTGCATGTGCATCAGCAGTGGGGGAAGGGGGGGTGAGGTAAAGGGCATCTTGACCTGTTTTTCAGAAACACATTTTAGCACGCCTCCCCTCCCCCACAACTTCCCCACTCCCGCCCCCACCCCCTGCCCCTGTGTGGTGACCTCTGGGGTTGGACTTGACGAACAGAGGCTGTGCAGGCCTCTTCTGCTCAGTCAGTCATACGATCTGGCGGTATCATGTTCTACTCTGAGCCACTGTCTCTTGTTTTTTTCTGCTTACTGAATGGCGATGCTTCCATAGTCAGTGAGGGTGGAAGCCAGTGAGAAACGGAGTCCGGCCTCTGCAGAGTGGCAGGTTTTCCTAGCACCGTAGATAATCTTAGGACCTTGTGTCATTTTGTGTGTGTAGAGGCAAGGATGTGACCAATCAGGAACCAAAAAGGGTAAAAAATAGAATAGCATTTTAAGGAGTCTTTGAGTCAGTGGAAGCAGAGAATGCCTTAGAAGTCACATATCCTAGAGGGGTTTTGTCAGATGAGTGATTCTTTTATCTGGGCAGCCTTCAAAATAACCTGGACAGCTTGGAGAAAAACACCAATTCCCAGGCTCTACCCCAGAAGTTTTGATTCCGCACGTCCGGGTTGAGGTCCGGGAATCTGTATGTGTAATGGGCTCCCTCAGGTGATTGTGAGTCTCACACAGGCTTGGAAATCATCCTGCCCCTGACCTTTGGGTTCCTTTCCAGCTTTCAGATTCTCTGTGGTGAAATCCAGGTCATGAGTGAGGTGGCACAGGCCTTTGAAAGGCAGCCCCTCTCCAACCCAGTCTGTCGCCTGACCCAGAGGGCATGGCCCAAGTGACCCCGCACCTCTTCAGCCACGGGGTTGACACACGTCTAATACATAGGTGCAGAATTGAGTTCCCCCTCAAGCAAGACACATGATCTGTTGTTTCCTATGTATCTTTCCTTTTAAAAAGAAAAATCTATACATACGGATTTTTAACAGCTCGTGATACAATTTATATGCACACAAGTCACCCATTGAAAGTGTACAGTTCAGTGATTTTCGTACGTTGACAGGTGTACAACGATCACCACGATCAAATTCTAGACCATCTTTATCACTTCAGAAAGAAAGTGGGCTCGTGAGTAATCACTGCCCGTCTCACACTGATGACTTCCTGTCTCTATTCCGTACAGATTTTAGTCCCTCAGTCCTTCGCACTAGTGGTTGTGTATTGGCGATTGTTCTACACTCTGTTCCACTGGGCACCGTTTCACCATCCTGAGGCTCTCCTGCCAGAGGAGACAGGGTGAACACTGTGCCCAGAGGGTGGCTGTGTCCGCCGTGCCCCGGGAGGACAGAGAGATCTGTGGGAACCAGAGGTTAAGCACTTCTTTTGCTGCCATGGGCAGCCTCAGTCCTTGTCGGGCAGAAACTTTTCATGTCTGTTCTTTCTGTATTTAGAAACTCATCGCATATGGGCACATCACCGGCAACGCCCCCGACAGTGGAGCCCCAGGGAAGCGGCTTATCGACAGGATTGTTGAAACCATTTGCAACTGCTTTCAGGGCCCTCAGACCGATGAAGGAGTTCAGTTACAAATAATTAAGGTATTTCTGTTTGTTTGCCTGATCTGGATTTTAAATAAGAAAGCTAGTGTCTTTTGGGAATTTGGATTTCTAATTTGCCATGTGTTAGTTGTCTCAGGTGGTGCTGAGCTGGAACAGAAGAGTGTAAGCATCACTTACATCTTTTGTTAAGTGTCAGAATTTATTAGCCCAGGCTGAGACAAGAAGAGTGGAACCAGGTGTGTTTTCAGAGTAAACAGTTCCGCTAATAACAATGTAAATTGCTTGTCAATTGGATCGGCTTGAAATCTCCTGGTCTTTCTCCTTGAAATTCTGGATTCCCAATCTGCCATTTCTCAGTGGGTCCTTGTTGATAATCTTACACCAGTCTGCCCCTTGTCCTGCACCCCCGCCCCCATTCCATTTCCCTGTTCCATTCCAACCCCTCCCCCCATCCCATTTCCCTGTTCCATTCCATTTGTGCTGCCAGGAGTGGTTTAGCATGTAGTAGTACCATCTGCTTGTTGGGAAACAGGATCTGGATGGGTGTAGCCAACATTCCAGATCTTAAGTCTTAACTGTATTAGCTTTGTGTGGGATGATTCCGTGTTGGCCACTCCCAAAGCTCTCTTGGAAACCCTCCAGGGAACTAGGACACTGACCGCCTATCAAAACCTGTATATTTTGTGATTAATATAGACGAGATAGAATTAGAGCAGTTTCCCTCCTGAGAGAATGGTCCGTATTTTTGGCTCTTAAAAAAGTAAACTCGTAGAAAGCCCTCTTCAACACAACTTAATTAGCATCAAATAATTTGGATTTTATAGAGTTAATAATTATCTTTAAACTCAGAGCAATGGGGAGTTTTCGTGTGCAGAGCCATCTTAAAATTTATGAAACCAAAACAAAGCTAAACCCTGTATGAAAGTTTGGCTGTGGGAGGATGGGAAGCAGGTGGGTGTTTGTGAAGGTGAATGTTGTGGGTTTTCGTTTTAGGCTCTTCTGACAGCGGTGACGTCCCCACACATTGAAATTCATGAGGGTACTATTCTGCAGACAGTTAGGACGTGTTACAATATCTATTTGGCCAGCAAAAATCTCATCAATCAAACCACTGCCAAGGCTACCCTTACTCAGATGCTGAACGTCATTTTCACCCGCATGGAAAACCAAGTGGTGAGTGGTAGCAGTTATCAGCTGCTAGGGATGCAACATCTTCTTTTATGTGACTGTTTCACTTTAAAGTTTATCCCTTCTTCCTCTGAATTCTGTTTTTGTTCTTGTTTTAAAAGGCAGAGAAGCTAGCATGAATTTTGGAATCAACATTGAGAATTTGTTCTGAGTTTTATCAAAAGAATTTGTCTCCTTTTTAAAATGTTATCCTTCTGGTTGGATTTTTTTTTTTTTAAGCAACAGGCTGGCATATTTTCTGATCCTTCTCAAAATGCTGGGACTTTTTTTTTTTTTTTAAGATTTTCTTATTTTTAAGTAATCTCTGTACCCAATGGCGGGGGCGGGGGAGGGGTGGCTCGAACTCACAACCCTGAGATCAAGAGTCACACTCTCCACCAGCTGAGCCAGCCAGGTGCCCCAATGCTGGGACCATTTAGATCGAATCCCTTTTTTGTTGCCTTTTAGTTGCAGGAGGCCAGAGAATTGGAAAAACCAGCCCAGTCAAAACCCCAGTCCCCTGTGATCCAAGCTGCAACAGTGTCCCCAAAGTTCAGTCATTTGAAGCAGAGCCAGGCACAAAGCAAACCAACGACTCCTGAAAAGACAGATTTAACTAATGGTGAACATGCCAGGAGTGGTTCTGGAAAAGAGAGCTCAGAGAATGGAGATGCACCTGGTGAAAGAGGCCCGTCGCTGTCAGGTATGTCCTGGGCAATGTCCCTTTCCCACTGTGAGAGGGACCTATTTTGTGTCTGAGGGGCAGTTGAAGGAGCCTGGTAACATCTGCAGGAAACCTCTGATAGCAGCTTGTCTATTTCTGGGCCTTCCCCTTCCCTGTTGCTTTTCTCTTGAACATAGCCAGCAAGGCATGATGTCCGATGTCAGCTGCGTGGTTTTCTCTAAATAGCCCCTGGAATGCATCAGGCTACAGCTTCAGTGCAGTGGGTTCAGTTTGGGGTGTTTCTCTCCCAGTGGTTAACTGTTTGGGTAATTAGTCACTCAGTGCCTGCCTTATCTGCTCAGGGGAGGACGAGGGGACCTCATCTGTCATGTCACGTATACACGGACGGGATCTCTGCACTGTGCCCACAGCCTGGTAGTTAGTGGCTACTCGTGGACATCTGTGAAAGAAGCAGGAAGGTGGATGAGCGAGCGGGCAGATAGATGGACAGACAGATAGCTTTGTTTTCTCCTTCTGTGACCTAGTATGTTGCATGGTTTTTTGTTTGCTTTTTTTAAATGACAGAGCTATCCCACAGCTGATTCTAGTCTCCAAGTAAATGAAACATCAGGCATGAGATGGTGGATTGGATTATCCTAAGAGTATTTCTGAATGTTTGCATGTTGCCCTGGGCAGTTTTTATGAACCAGTTCTCAAATTCATATTTTTTTCAGGAAGGTACCTTCCCGGTGATACTTGTCCAGTAATTCTTCACTCTAGCTGCTTGGTCTGCATGAAATATCTGACCCATCTTCATACTTTATCTCATCTCTTTCTCTGTCCCATTATTGATGGCAATTTCTGTTGGTCGTGTGTTCTGTGAAAGCATCCATATTTGAGAGCTTTTGTTCCTCTATTATTTATCAGAATGCTTGGCATACACAGGAGCGGACCAAGTGCTGTTGCTGGAAGGTTTTTCTGTATCTTTACTCGAGGAAAGGACAAAAGAAAAAGTTGCCACTAAGAATGGCACGTGCCTGAGCACAAGCACAGAGTTGCTGTCTCCTCAGTCCTGCTGTCCTGTGTCTCGGGGAACGTGCTCAGAAACTACTGGCCCACCCTCTGTATCTGTTACCATCTTTGCCTTCTTAAGCTTTCAGGGCAAGGACCAGGTTTTTACTGTAACCCTTATCAGGCTGTGGTCAATCCATAAGTATTAATATTTAAACACATGCGAGGTAGTAAGCGTAGCTGTGCAGATACAAATGTCAGTCTCTTTAGCTGCAGGAAAGTGCTTCCACTATAGCCCATTTTGTACATGGCATCCAAAGTGATGTCTTAAAAGCATGAATTAGATCCAGCACCCCCCCCCCCCC